AGACACACAGGTGATGTACTTATACACATGCAGGCAAGCACTCATACAAACAAAACCAAATTAAAATCTGAAATAAATAGATAAAAGTAAACCACAACAAAAGGAGCTTTTAAAACAGAATGTACATAGATATCAGAATAGTTACAGCAAAAATGCTGAGGTGTCACAGATGGCCACTCTCTAAATAAGATCTGTTGGCAATATGGCACAAACTGTGTATGTATAGAGCAGTAGAGGCCAGGAAGGGATAGGCTATAAACTCAGGACCCTTTGCTAAAAGGGAAAAAATGTATGCTACACACTGACAAGCTTGAAGGTGATTCAGTGCCAAGAATTCTAGGTGTGCTGTTGAGCTCACCATAGTCACTCCTGGTCAAATAGAGGAGTTGACACTGTTCTTGCTTTCTGCATAAACAGTTGAAGAAAGGAATGAAGTATAAACTGACCATTCAAAGAGTATGTTCTGGGCCAGACACTCTTGCCTCATGATAGTCTTTGAATAATCGTATTCTCATCTGTAAGAAAGGATTGCGACTTTGCAAAGTTAGGTATCTTGGCCAAAATCATACATAAAATGGATTTGGGGATTCCAACCTAGGCTGCAAATTGAACGGTCTTCTCATTGCAAAAACCCAATAGTTTCATTCCATTTTCTTAAGGTCATTTCTCCTCCAGCCCCTTAATCTGACTGCTCTGGCTTCCTTCCATGTTCACCTGAAGGAAGTCAAAGTTACTGAGACATAAACTTCCTTCAGTTGGCATATCTTTGAGTCTCACTGTATGGCAGGTGTTCCTGGTGTCATGTCCATAGCCTTTTGGGAATTAAATGTTAAGAAGGAGGAAACAGAGTTGGTGGGCAGCGAGTCACTGAAGGAGATAAAGGTGATCGATTAGGGGAAGCTTTCTGCTATGGGAATCTTGGCGCCTCCCTTCCTTTGGATCTGTTATCTCCTTCCACCTCTGCGAAGCCTCTCCCAACCCCTTCTTGAAAATGCTGATCTTCTCTCTCCCAGTGCCCTACTTCCTCCTTTGTAGTTCTGATCTTCAGTTGGTGAATAATACAAGGGAAGTATGACTTCCCTTGCTACTAAGAACCCAGACTTGAAGGCAGAGGATGGTTCTTGTCTTTTGTTCCCTTCTGTCTGAGAGTCAAGGCACATAGAAGAAGCTCAGATATTTTCTTAGGTGATTTGTAGTCGGATTTTTCTTTGGGCTGACAGCTCACAAATAATGACATGAAGATTATTAATTATGAAAGCTCAGCATTAACTTAGGCTAATTAACTCTTATAACTTAAATTAACTCATTTATTTTAATCTACATTTTGTCACATGGCTTGTTACCTCATCTCTCCATATGCCAATGTTGCTTCCTCCAAGACTCCACCCTTCTTTTTCCCAGAGTGCTTTCTGTTCCCAGAAGTCTAGCCTAACCTCTTCTTAGCTATTGGCTGTTCGCTTTTTATTACACTAATCACGGCAATACATTTTCACACAGTGTACAAATATTCCACAACAGAGATTGGAAGGTTATACACTGAGAATCTGGAAGGCTGATTGGGGTGAACTTCTTGACATAGGAGAGAGGGGTTGGCTACAGGGACTGTAAGTGCCTCCTGAATTTGCTATTAAGGGGAGCAGGAAAGTGAGGTAATAGCTGAGAAGTGCTAGCTGGTAGGAGACAGCTACAGTTTCCCTCCCGTGCTGGTGGATCTTAAGAAAGGAGAGAAATGGAGGGGACAGGGGAAACTTGGGGACTATTGGAAACTGAGTGTTTGAGTGAGTCAACCCAGGAATGCAGGATTCCTGAGCCCAGGTAGAGGACTGACTTCAGGAGGCTTACCAAGGCTTGGGGAGGGCAGGCCAGAGCACAGCCATAGTCAGTCCCAGGCAATATCTGCTTCTGCATTTGGACTGCAGGTTTTGTATAACACTCCCCCTTTTTTTAGTTGAATTTTTTTCATGATATATTCTGATCACAGTTTCCCCTCTCTCACCTCTTCCCAGATCCTCCCTATTTCTCCACCCGTCAACTCCATAACTTCTTTCTCTCTTGAAAACAAACAGGCAAATAAAAGAACAAATAAACCATAATTAAAAAAACACACACACATAAGAAACAATACACACAAAGGCACACATTAACAAAACATATAAAAACAGAAAATCAGAAACCCATATATATATATATAAGCAAAAGATCAGTAAGGTGAATTTTAGCTAAACAAGGCATCACAGGACAAAACATCTAAAGTACCATTGAGTTTGTTTTGTGTTGACCATCTACTGCTGGGCATGGGGCCTGCCTTTAAATGTGGTTTGTATGTCCAGAGAGACTCCACTGGGAAAAAACTAATCTTTCCTTTGTGAACATTTGAGGCTTGGAGACAGTTAGGGTTGGGGGCTCTTGTCCACTTCCACTCTCAGCACTGGGGCCCTGTCTGACTCAGACCTGTATAGCTCCCATGCATGCTGACACAGTCTCTGTGAGCTCACATGTGCATCAGTCCTGTTGTGTTTGGAAGACACTGTTTCCTTGGTGTCCTCCATCCCCACTGGCTCTTACAACATCAGGGTTCCCTGAGCCCTAAGGGGACAGGTTTGATGAAGACATCTCATTTAGACCTGGTTGTTCCAAAGTCTCTTTCTCTCAGTACACTGTCCAGTTGTGTCTCTACTAGTTCTGTAGGAGGACGCTTCACTGATGGTGGTTGAGCAAGACACTAATCTGATTCCCAGCCTGTGGTTTTGTGTAACCCTTGAGTGATAAAAAGCAGTTTCTGAGTTCCAGTTACTTGTATAAATGATCTAGTTTCTTTATGCAAGTTCTCCAGGGTGAGAATTTATTTTTTTATCTTAAATCTTAAAAAATAGTATTTCCTTGCCATTTTGCCACAGGTACTCTAGCAATTACTCTTATAAAGAGATCAGTAGTCTAGGGCTGGCAAAGCTGAAAGTAGCCACTCAAGCTTGCTCGCTGGCCGAGTTGCCAGTCTGTGCCGAGTTGGTCCCCTGCCCTATGTCCCAGGCCCTCTTCCCACCTTGCTTTGCTCACTCCTTCCCTGGTGTGTGTTCTCTAACCCAAGGTGGGGGGGGCATCAGAGAGCCCTCAGCAGTTCATTTCCCGGTATTCACAGAGGCAAGTAAGGACCAGGTAGCTGCTCTATGCTGGAACTTCCTAAATTCCATTGCCTGGAGGAACTGTGTGTGGAACTGCTGGCAGCTCTGGTGCCCTCTGCTTCGAAGCATCAAGCTACTATTTCCACCCAAAAGACCTTTTTGCTTTTATTTATTTTTAATAGTTTTTTATTTATGTGTATATGTGTGCCTACATGAATTTACATGCACCACATGTCTGCAGGTGCCGAAATTTCATTGGATCCTCCAGAACTGGAGTTACAGGTGATTGTGAGCTACCTAATGTGGGTGCTGGGGACCAAATCCAAGTTCTCTACAGCAGCAATAAGTGCTCTTAACCACTGAGCCACCTCTCCGGCCCCCAAAAGACCTTTTAAAGCAACATGCACATGTTTACATTTACACCATCACCACACAATTGCAGCAGTTCCTTATGGATCTAAATCATCCTTTTGTCTCTGCTCATTTGCTAGGCCAGCCTTTGTTTAGCACTTCTTTATATTCTTACACTTCAGTGCTTGCTCTTCTCTCCCCAAAGCATGGGTGACAAGACACATTATTTGGACATGAATTCAGTCTTCTCAATAATGATCAGCACTTTAAAAATGCAACACTGAATATTTTGCACATATAAGAAAAAGATATTTCCCCCTTCTTTTTTCTGTTTTGTTTTGTTGTTGTTGTTTTTAGGATCTTGCTGTATAAACAGGATGACTGGAATTTGTGGCAGTTCTCCTACAAGTATGAGCCACCACATGTGGTACTGCTTCTTTTTTTGTGTTTTTATAAACTATTTCCACTGAGGGTCATGTTCACATACATTTGAAAGACCCTTCCTCCTTTTCAGACCCTATATTTTGTAAGTGTGGGAGGCAAGCTCATTCCCAGGAGCCAGCCTTTTTCTCTGGTGAACAGAGTTCTGCAGATCACCTTCTGAGACCATATTTGAGCCTCTCATACAACTCCTGTTTTCTCTCAGTCTCTCCACGCCCAAGAGTGAGTGCTTGCTCTGTTACTTTAGAACAGTGGAAAAAGTATTCTTAGTGCAGTAATAGAAGCAAAAACACTTCATCTTCTCAGAGGCAAGGGAAATCATTTCACAGATGACCCTAAATATCTGTATGCTGGTTGTTTGGAGAGCTTTTGCTGGAAGCTCTTTTCAGCGTGCCAGCTTTCCTGCCCCATCCAGTTGTCTTACTTCAGGCAATTCAGAAATATGTCTTGTTGACAGAGTTGGCACCTTTGGATTCTTGGCTGGCCAGCATTGTTGGTTCACAGGTTCTGGTTTATTCTTGGATTCTGTGAACCTTCTTTCAGGAATGTTTGCAATCATACCTATGTGATTTGTATGTTGTCTGTTTTCTGCTCTTATTTGTACTCAGACAAAGAGGCAGCTGAACGTCTTTCAAAAACGGTAGATGAAGCATGTCTCTTACTAGCGGAATATAACGGGCGCCTGGCAGCGGAACTGGAAGACCGGCGCCAGCTGGCTCGGATGCTGGTGGAGTATACCCAAAACCAGAAAGAGGTTTTGTCAGAAAAAGAGAAAAAGCTAGAAGTGAGTACATTGCAAAACAGACCCAAATTGCCTGAATTGCCCTTCCTATAGCCCATTTTATTCCTGGATTAACCTTTATTTTTATCTTCTGAAAATGAATGAGATAGTAGTATCCATCAGATAACTGTGATTACTGTAGCCTAGTTAAGAGTTGAAGTCATGTTTTTAACATGTCCAGGAAAGAAAAACTCACATTGTGAAAACAGTGGCCTCTTAGTCACAGCATTTAGGATCTTAAAGTTGCTTCACAGTTTAGAGTTGAAAAATTATAAATTGAGATACAGAAGGGTCAGCAAAAGGTTATATTTGGGAATCTGAATTGTTTTGAGGTTTATTTCTGACATATACACATGCTTGCCAGTAAGCCTCCTGCCTACAAGCTCTTCCTGTACATATTCTACAAGTTCAGTTGTGTTTGTGTAGCCTGATTCAAACTGGGCAGGAACCCATTTTTCCTGTGTTGAGAGCATGTGTCTCGGTGTGTCCAGCAAGAAAGGGTTTAGAATCCCCTCACCATCTGCTTCTTAACTCAGCTTAGCTCCTTGTCCTTGGGAGCAGAGCCATCAGTGTGGCTGTTGGGGTTCCATCTGCCCCACATTGTTGGACTTAGCAGTTTCTTAGCAGTTTCTCCTCTGTGTTTCTTGGGAAGGACAGAGGGGTCTGAGTTAGAGAATAACTCATAATGATCACAAGAAACACCTCATGAAGCCCCCTTAGTAGATAAGGGAGTGGAAGGCCACCCTTCTCCCACCAGGGAAAATTCTCTGACACAGAGGGAGGGAACACTGAGCCAGCTCTGGTGATTGTTGCATTGGTCATTCTGTGGTCAGCTGACTAGAGAGGGAATGCCATGTCCTTCCCTGCAGTGATTATAGAAGCTGTGCTGTGATAGGTACAGGTGCTAGGAGCTTCAGAGGTCTAGCCAGCCTGAGTGTGGAAGATAGGAGACAGCTGACAGTAGTATGGCTTTCCTGTAGATTCAGCACTGACCAGAACCCTAAAGGGAACGTCATCAGCAGGAGCAGACGGCCATTTGTCTGACGGGCTCATCTTTCACTGAGGAAGCATTTCAGCATAGTACCTTGGGACTAATAAGAGATTGTAATTAATGATTCTGGTTGTAAGTCATTGTGCCATCTGTTGAACTGCCCCTTGGCGACACATTAAGGGCTTTCTCTGATCTGTCAGACATTGATTATCATGAGCAGCTGTTGTTGGGTGGAACGTGACAAGCACCATAGAGGACAGTCTTTGAGAAGGAGACAGTTGGTAGAGCCTGTTAACTCTTTGTTCTGTCTCTTCCCCAGCTGCAGTTAGCTGTCTGGTTCATAGGCACAACAGGTAGTGGATGCCCCAAGAGGTTATGCGGCATAGAGGTCAGAATTCAGTCCATTCTGTAGCTTTGCAGTCTCGTTGTTGCTATTTCACAGAATGGCATGGCATTGGAACTCAGCAGTTGAGGATGGATTAGGAGGACCCTGGTACTGCAAGGCAGCCAGAACTCAACCAGCCAACTGGGCAGGGCCATTCATTATGAAAATAAAAAGAAGTTTGCTGCATTTGAAAAAGCAAATGACTAGATAAAAATGTAAGAAGCTGACTGGTGGCATTAGATCTTTATCTGTGCTTACTAAATACATGAACAGTCTGGTCTTCTGAATCTGCCATTTCCTCTCACACCTTATAATAGACAGATCTTCATTCTGTCCTGACGGTGGTGGTAATAATACCCCGTGTGCAGCTTGAGAGAAGCCTCAATGCCTCAATCCCTCCGCCTCCCTTTCGTAATGGTTGGTCCTGAACACTGCCAAATCAGAAGACTAGTTAAATCTTGTTTGGAACCTTTCATTGCCTTCAGTGTGTAAATGCCACAGTTTATGGGCTCCTGCATGTACAGGTGCTTTCTTGGGAGTCTTTCCCCACAGCTCAAATTTGTCAACACTTAAGTTTTTCTACATTTTATTTGTTAGCTTTGTATTTTCCTTTAAATAGCAAGCATCTCCTCTTCCATTAAGGACTTTATGTTGGTTTCTAGTGGCTTCTGAACCTTAAAGTGGCAGAGGTACTGGGTCAGAGTTCAGAGGGGAGGAAGACCCATTCTTATTGCATTTCAAGAATGCTGGTGTCAACAGCAAAGGTGAATGTAAAACCAAACAAGTTAAGACAGGTGACAATTCTGGTTGTGGGTTAAGCTAACCCCTGATGGGAAATAAAGCCTTTTTGAAAAGGAAATGGCAATTGAAGGAGGACATATGTTTATAAAAGGGGAGCAGCCAGAGGCCTGGACAGGTGTGTGAAGAGAATAAAGTGTATGGACAGAGGCACTGGAGACCCCATGTGGAGCTGGGGTCTTGTCTTTATGGAGTCACCAGTCTGTACCTGTTCACTGATGGACACGCGCGCAAAGAGGGGTAAAATGTGCCTCTTCCAATAGCAGTTCTCCTCAGGAACAAGGGGTTTCACGGATGTCCAGAAGCCTGCTTACTTTCTTCAGTGACTTCCCTCCAGGGAGAGAACTACAGAAGCAAGGAGTCAAAGGGGAGTATGAGAAAGCTTAGAGGAAGTGAAATCTTCCAGCTCATCATATCCATACTGAAACAGACCAAGAAAAAAAACTTGTTATTAGTAACATTAATTTAATTGGATGTCTATTTAGGATGTCCCACAAAGTATCAAATGCTCGAGCTGTTTTGGAACACCAGAAGCCTTGAGCTGGTCTCCTGATGTCTGTTGGACACTATGCTGTTTGGCTGCTGTCATGGTGCTAAGGATATATTTGTTCCTCAGAAAATGCTTGTTTTTTGACTCAGATTCCTCAGTGGAAGTCACCTTTTCCTATAAAGAGAATTCTTGCTAGGTTCCATTAAATGCTTTAACAGATGTGACCTACTATCCAGCTATAGACAAGCTACTGGTAATGGTGACTATGGTAGAACAGCCTTGTGCCCTTGTCCTTTCTCCTTTAAATAGAACTGGGGTTCATTTAGAGATGATCCATTTTAATCATTTTTATGCTTCTGGGTGTCATGGTTGACACTACTGTACCACTTTTCCCTTAAACTCCAAGCAAGGTTAAAGGAAACACTGATGAAAATCTTAATGCTTTGTGTTGTGAGCAGAGAAAACCTAGAAATTGGAAAGAAGGCTGTGGAAGGGATCGTGTTACTAACAGCTCAGAGGTCAAGCTACAGTGTGGGGCCTAAAGCTAGGCTGGCTCAAAAGGTAAAAGCCAAGGGCACCAGAAAGCTCTAGACATCACTTCTCAGAACAAAGGGGACTTTGTTTCTTGCTGACAGAGGTGACTCTTAGGCCAAGCAACTGCTTGAAGCTCCAAGCTTTAATCTGAACAGGTTGCTCAGAGTTCCTGTCTTGTCATTCTGGATGAAAAGTGGTGTGCCTGTGTTCATCAGAGCCACCAAGATAAGGACGGGAAGGAGGTGGAGGAGAGAAGCCACTTATACAAGCTTGAAAGAAAGAAAGAAATCAAAGGGTCAGTCTCACCTTGTAGCACAGCAGCTTCATGCATTGTCATGGTGTGTGTCTATGGTCTAGGCCGAAAGGGGCTGTCTGTGGTGTGCAAAAACTGCCAAACAGGGGAGTGCTCCAGCTGCATCCCTCGCTACAGATAGGTTTGTTTGTAGGGTGAGGTGAAATTTATGTAACACAGTTAACCATGTTAAAGAGCCTCCATTCCAGTGACATTTAGTACTTAATAGTATAGAGCACCCATCTAACATTTCAGCACTGCCCTTACCCTCGCTGCCCCTGGGGATTTTATATACTCGTGTCTCTTCTTTTAATTTGGTAATAATTTGAGGTTATCCACAAAGTACCATGTGCCAGTACTTCATTCTTACTGAGGACGAATGTTAGTGCAAATATTGATAATTATTGCAACAGTAATAACTACTAGCTATTATATGGATCTGCCATAATTTGTCTGTTCATTATTGTTGGTGAGCATTTGAATTACATCTACTTTTCTGTTACTGTGAGTAGTGAATAATGCTGCTGTACAGACAGTGATGTACATGGTTTTGTAGACATCTTTTCCTTTCTCTTGGGTGTGTGTTACACTAGGATTGAGGTTTGCTAGATCAAATGGTAATTCAGTGTTTAACCTTTAACACCCATCAAACTTTCCCATAATAGCTGCCCCATTTTCTTTTTCTTTTTTTTTTTCTTCTTGAGACAGGGTTTTTCTGTGTAGCCCTGACTGTCCTGGAACTTGCATTATAGACCAGGCTGGCCTCGAACTCAGCAATCCTCCTGCCTCTGCCTCCCAAATGCTGGGATTAAGAAGTGTGACACCGCTATCCAACATCAGCTGCCCCTTTTTCTGCTGCCACCATCAATGTACTGGCCTCAGTTTCTTCACATCCTTGACAATACTTACCACTTCTTTCTTCTGTCCTAGAGAATGTGAACTTGTACCTGTGGTGATTGATTTATGTTTCCCAGAGTAGCAGTGGCAATGAGCATCCTCACCTGCTCCGTGACTGTTTGTTGTCCTTGTTGGAAGCGTGTCTATTCAAGTACCTTTGTCTGCTTTCCAGTTGGGTTGTTTGCAGTTTGAGTCTTAAGCATTCTTTATGTATTTGGATATCTGTGTTCTTAACAGATAAGATTTGCAAATATTTTCTCCTATTCTGAAAGTTGTTTTTATTTTGATGAGTTCCAGTTTTACTTTTAATTTTTCCTTTTGTTGCTTTTGTTTGGGGTGTTGCATCTGAGAGCCCACTGCCCAATCCCAAGATGTGAAGATTCTTACTTTGTTTTTTAGGAGCTTTAGTGTCTAAGCTCTTACATTTAGGTTGTCATTGATTCTAAGTTAGTTTTGTATATGGTGTGAGGTAGGGAACCAACCAACTCCTGCTGTGTGTAGATGTCCATTTGCCCAGCAGCATCTGTTGAAGTGACTGTACTTCCTCCATCTGAATGTGTGACACCCTTGTCAAGAAACAGCTGACCATAGATGTATGCATTCTCAGTTGGGTACCACTGACCTCTGTATGCCCCATGATGGTACCTCACTTTAGCATGTAGCTCTGTAGGAAGTTTGAAAGTGAGAAGTGTAAGTCTTCAGTCTGTTTTCTTTTTTTTTCCCCTTGTTATTTTGTATAAAACCTCTTAAAATTCCATATGAATTTAAGAATTTCCTATCACCATTTCAATTTCTACAACAGAAAAAAAAAGGCATTTGAATTTTACTAGCAGTTGCATTTAATCCTTATTGGTGGTGGAATCTTGTTTTTTGGTTTGCAATGCTAGATGGCCTTGCATTGAGCCTGCTTTCATCTCCGCTGCAGATTGTTTTTCTTTTCTTTTCTTTCTTTCTTTCTTTCTTTTTTTTTTTTTTTTTTTTTTTTTTTTTTTTTTTTTTTTGCTTTTTTGAGACAGGATTTTTTTGTGTGTAACAGCCCTGGCTGTCCTGGAACAAGCTGGCCTTGAACTCACAGAGATCTGCCTGCCTCAGCCTCCCAAATGCTTGGATTAAAGGCATGTACCACTACCACCCACGCTTCTGCTGTGGAATTTTAACAAGCATCCTATAGTGTCACTTACTGATGTGTTTGGCACCATAGAAGCCTTGCCTGAGCGCCATAAGTCTCCCTGGCACAGATTGAGGGTAGAAATGTCCCTTCAGTAGCCAGTGGCCAGTCCTCATCTCTAGGAGGCAAGGCATGCATATGTACTGTCAGCAAAGTTCCAAGAGTGTGGATGTCTGTGTAGCAGGATTATTGAGCTAAAGACATCGTAGAGATCGTGTGGTATGATTTTGATTTGGTGAAGAAACTCAGAACTGGAGGGAGCTAGACACAGGGCAGGAGTAGAATCCAGGACACACACATATCTCATAACTTACCATTCAGATTTGTAATGTTTTGTTTTTGAAACTTCATTCCATGAGAAAAACAGCAGGAAGACATCTTACTCTTTACAAGAGCAGCCAGAGTTGAGTCATTTAGACAGTCTCCAAAGCATCTTGTTGCTATATTTTATATAGGGAAGTGGCAGCAACAGCAGGCAAGCATTCCAGAATGATCTGTGAGTATTTGAGAATCCGCTTTGCTCCTTGATGTCCTCCATGTACCTGTGTGCTTGCTCTGGTAACAGGGGAGAAGTGAACTTGAGGCTGTTGCTGTTTCTCCACACCTCTTCCTGGCCTGTAGAATCCTTAAGAATTTGACTTCAGACAACACAGCTGGGAGGGCAGAATGATGTAAAATCCAGCATTGCCATGTGACTCTTTGTATTACTGTGCACTGCAGGTTTTAACAACTCCAGAAATTCTTTGGCTCCAACCAAGGGGCTTCTAAACCACACTGATGGCCTGTTGGTTTTGGCAGCATTTCTTCCTCCTCTTCAGGGTGCAGATGTTTAGAAACATTTGTTTCCACAATGGTACAGACAGTAGGTGGAGATAGAGAGCTCCCCTTTGTCAACTTCGGAATACAGTCTTCCTCTTTCCCACGGGATCAAAACCACTATTTCATCTCACTGTCCTTCACAGCAAATACAGGCAGTCTAGTTCACAAAAGAATTAAGCACCAGGTTTATATGAGGAGCTCAAGGTCAAAGTGTCAGTACAGGATCTCCTGACTCCAGTGAACATGACTACAGCTGGCCCACATGGAGCATGTCAGGTTAGCCAAGTGGCCTGAGACAGACTCAAGCTGGCCCACCTATCTGCCCTTGTAGCACACAGCTCTGTCCTCACTAGACAAGCATTGTCAGCTCAAAAGGCAGTTAGAACACTTAGTGAAGAGGCAGCTCTGCTTACAGCTGCCAGGTGATCGTGGGGTCTGGGACCTAGATCCTTTCCCTAGCAGACCATGGCTGCTTGCTCCCTGCCTTGTTAGGGACCTCTTCTTCTTCTTCTTCTTCTTCTTCTTCTTCTTCTTCTTCTTCTTCTTCTTCTTCTTCTTCTTCTTCTTCTTCTTCTTCTTCTTCTCCTCCTCCTCCGCCTCCTCCTCCTCCTCCTCCTCCTCCTTCTCCTCCTCCTCCTCCTTCTGGATTCCAGTGTGTACTGGAGACCAGCCCCCTCCTCCTCCTCCTCCTCCTCTTCTCCTCCTCCTCCTTCTTCCCCTCTCCTCTCTTTATGTTTCCCTCCAATCTGTGAGGACTCGTGTTGAGTTGGTATTTGGGGTTCCATGAGTGACATGGGACTGAACATTGGGGTATTGGATTCCTCTTAATCCTTTTACTTGGCTAGCCCTTACGGTGCAGGTCAGATTCTACTCAGGGCAGCAGTCTAGCAGGATGTGAGGGGTGTGTGTGTGTGTGTGTGTGTGTGTGTGTGTGAGAGAGAGAGAGAGAGAGAGAGAGAGAGAGAGAGAATGTGAGTAGTGAGTGTGTGAGTGGGTGTGGCGCTGAGTGACCCTGGGACCTCACCTATGCCAGGCAAGTGTTATACCTGTGAACTGCACCCCCTAGCCCACTGTTGGCAGTACTGAGCTGCCTTCTGAGCAGCCCTGCTGAGTTTCTGCTGGTGTGGGTGTCAGATACAATGTTTGTAGGTGCAAACTGGCTCTGTTGCTCCCCAATTTCTGCCTGGTATGCAGCCATTCTACACTCCAAATACTCTGTTCTTTCTCTTTTTCTGATTGTAAAACTAATAAATTAGAAGAAACCCAGATGTAACTTGATAAATAAATGACCCAGTGGCAGATATTGGAGTTCAAACTTCAAGCTGATGATCAGAAAAGCAAAGCAGCCAGCCACTAGCTCTTACTGCTACTGCAAGCTGAAAGGGATGATCCGGCTGCCTCTCCTCAGTGTGGCTGGAGAATTCTGAGACTGAATGCCTGATACTGACTACTGAAGGAAGACCCTGCTTCTATGTTTTGTACCCCTCTAGTGCTGGGATTAAAGGTGTGTGTTCCCAGATGCTGAGATCATCTTTGTGTGAGCTGTTTCTCTTTAGGACTGGACCAATCTTGTGTAGGTCTGTGTGACCTTGGACTGAACAGAGATCTGTCTACCTCTTAATCCTGAGTCCTAGGATTAAAGGTGTGTGCCTGGCTTCTGTGGCTTGTGGCCCACTTTGCTTTCTGAATCCTTAGGCAAGCTTTAATAAATCATAAGTAATATATCACCACACCAGATAATACATGTAAGGAAAAAACATAATTTATTAGTTTATAATCTACAAAGAATTGATGTTAATTTTGTTCTAGTTCCTTTAGTTTTCTCTCTGTGGTGGAACACACCTGCAATCCCAGCAGGGAGAAGGTTGAGGCAGGAGGATCGTAGGCTGCAGCCAGTTCCCGCCTGGGTTGTGGAGACACATATTTCTCCCTAAGAGAAACTTTTGGTATAATGGGTGATGTTTAGAGTTTTTTAAGTCTTGTTTTGTATTTTGCATCATTACTTTCCTTGCTAACAGAAGCTGTGAGCAATTTGGGTACATGTGGTCCCTTGTGAGCATCTCTCTCCCTACTCTGCCTCTCCATTTCATCCTGCACCTCCTCTGCCAACTCTTGGTGTTTGGATGATTTTCCTCTAGACTTTGGGAGATATCTCTATGTAAACATGTGGTGACTGCGTGTCTTTCTGCAAACTGAAGAGTGTTTGTTTCAGGGTCTTTCCCCGACTTGCACTCCAGTCTTAGGAGATCTCCTTCTCTTCTGAAGCTTCTAGATATAGTCCTCCCCAAGTTAAGGAGAGTCTTTGTTTTGTGAAGCAGTTTAATTAGACAGAGTGGGCTGTCTTCTGGCTTTTAAGTGAACTTGTTTACATTTGCGACAGCTGTGTGGACATGGCAGATACTTATAACACTGACTTGAGTGAGCAAAATTTTCAGAGCAGGGTTCAAATGACAGACATTTGAGCTGTGGTAGCTAACTCTGTTTGCCCTGGTGTGTGCTATTTTAGTCTCTGTGAATGTCCTGCTGTTAAGCTGGGCCTTAACTCTCACTTCATACTGGAGGTTTGGAAAGGGGGAAACTGGAGGATGGTTGCATGCTTTGCAGTCTCAGGAGTTACATCTGTTTCTGTCTGTAATGCCAGGTATACGTGGCTATACCCCAGCATTCAGAAGGCTGAGGTAGGAAGGTTGTGATACGACTTCAAGGCCAGCCTGCACTGCACAATGACTCTGTCTTTTGGGTTTTTGTTTGTTTGTTTGTTTTTAAAGTAAGGGGTGGGAGAGATGACTCAGTGATCAGAGTGTAGACTGCCTCAACCTTCTCCCTGCTGGGATTGCAGGTGTGTTCCACCACAGAGATCATCTTTGTGTCCCAGCACCTACATCAGGTGCTCATACCACCTGTAAGGGGTTGGAGAGATGGCTAAAATTCGGTTCCTGGCACTCACTGTCTGGCAACTCATAATTGTCTGTACCACCAGCTCCAGCAGACACCCACCGGTCTAGTTTCCCAGGGCACCTGCACTCATGTGTACCCCCCCATATACAAATAATTTAATGATTAAATTTAAAAATTAAAAACAAAACAAAACCTGCCTATAGCCCCAGCTCTAGGGGATCTGACACCCTCTTCTGACCTCCTTGGCAACTGCACTCAGCTATGTGCCCTGCCCCACCCCCCAATTTTAAAAATAAATTAAATAGTTCACAACAGAAGGTATGGCTTAAAATTAGGTCAGAAGCAATCTTTTTGTGTAAGACAACAACTTACTGGTTATTCCATGGAATATAAATGAAACGTGTCTGCATCTACCATCAGGTACTAGCTTTGTCCTCTTCCTTGTTAGTTCATTTCCTGTTTTAGGTCCTTTTTCTTGAAGATAAAGTGTGGTTAGCTCTCTTTTCTTAATTTAGCATGCACAGTAACTTTGTAAATTTCAACACAAAGCAACAACAGCAAATTATCCAGCAAGGAAGGGCTCTGAGCATCCTTGAGACCAGTACAGTGGTTGTGAGTGAGCAGGTCCAGTTCTCCATGCCATCTCTGGCCGCTGCTTTGTTCACAGAGTTCATTTCTATGGGGCATAGCCTGACTGGGAGCTGTTTCCATAGAGATATGACCTGGCCCACTGTGATCCTGTGGTGGGGAGATGCATGGCCTCTTCCAGGCCTTCCCTGACTTTCACCATATGGCCATTGCAGCTTTTTAGCTTTGCTATGATTTTATTGTTGTCAAGATTTGTTTATTTTTCATTTGTGTGGGTATGTGTAATGCGCCTATGTGAGTTTGTATGCACTACTGTATACAGAAGTCCTTGGAGGCCAACAAGGGCATTAGGTCTCAGGAGCTGGAGTCTTAGGTGGTTGTAAGCCACCTGGTGTGGATGCTAAGGACCAAACCCATGTCCTGGAAGAATAGGTCTCTCCATCCTTTAATGTGATTTTTGTCATTTGTAAATTAACATTTTTACTCCCAAGGTAGTTGTCAGTATGTCTCAAGACTCTGTATTCTGACCCTCTCTGAAGCCTTTAGTACTGTCTTCTCAGTTCCTGGTGTTTCAAGTCGCCCTCTACTGGCTCTAGTCTACCTACCCATTTCTCTGTGGTGCTTCTCTCCATCTCTGTCCTGTAGGGTTTGGCATACATTTAGCCATTTCTCATTCTAGACCTTTCTCCCCGTGATTTCCACTTCATTTGCTTTAGTTCCATATGCATGACTGTGCCTTAACCGGCTCAAACAGTTCAAACAACATGGTGAGGCAGGCTGTGTCCTCCTGCTGAATTGCCCTCTTCCTCCTTCCCTCCTTTCCTCCTTCCCTCCTTCCCTCCCTCCCTCCCCTTTCACTGAGTCCAGCAGTGGCAGTGCTACTTAGCAGAACCGCACGCCTGTAATCCTAGCACTCAGGAGGCTGAGGCAAGAGGCTGGTGAGTGTAAAGCCATTCGAGGCTACATAGAGCCCCCTCCCCGATATGCTAGCCCTTTTCCCAGTAGTCGCACATCTCAGGTGTGTCGATTAGCCTCCTCTAGTCCCAACCCCCTAGTTTCTCTCTTGTACCTCTTAGTTCCTCAGATTGACCTCCCAACCCTGTTGGAGGTCTCTGTTTTTCTTGACTCTGCCCCCTTTGCTGTCACCTTCTTGTTGTAGCCTTACTTGATGATTACTTCTTTTTGTCCTGTAATCTTTTCTTCATACAGCAACCCTCTCATGCAGCTCTAAACATACCATTCCCTAGCTTAACCATTTAAGTGGCTTCTCGTTGCCCTTAAAATGATCCAAATCACTATTTCTCCGAACCCCTGCCATGGCTTGCCCCCCTCCCCCATCAACCATGGCCTGCCTTTCCCCTTCCCCACCAGCCAGATATTTGCCCATGCTGATCTCTCATCTCTGGTTTTATGTGGGTTGTTTCCTTCACCTGCTTGAGATACTTCTCCTTTACTTTCCACTATTTCCTCTTACTTGTTAGTCCCTGCTCATCATCTGTGCTAGTTTGAATGTAATTGGCCCCCATAAACTCATAGGGAGCAGCACTGTTGGGAGGTGGGGCCTTTTTGGAGGAAGTGTGTCACTGTGGGGGTGGGCTTTGAGGTCTCTCTCCTATGCTCAAGCTACACCCAGTGTCAGTTCCCTTCAGAACTCTCAGCTCCTTCTCCAACACCCTGTCTGCCTGCCTGTTGCTAGTCCCACCATGATGATAATGGAAAACTGAACTATAAGCCACCCCAATTAAATGTTTTCCTTTATAAGAGTTGCCATGGTCACGGTGTCTCCTCACAGCAATAGAAGCCATAACTAAGGCATCATGTCTGTACCTGACTGTCTCTTTGGGCAGCATGCCGTCAGACTCCACGCTGTAAAGCCAAGCCCTCCCTCCCTGTGCATGTGACCTCTGCCTCCACTTTATCCTTCAGAGCTCTACATCTATTGTGGATTCATAGTTCTTCCCCTGTATGTATAAATGCTGTCTGTATCACCATTCTCATACCTCTAGCCCCCTTTAGCTCCGCAGTCAGGGCTGGTCAAAGCTTGGTGAATTTCTGAGCATGGTGAAGAGTCTTGTCTTTGACAGGGAACTTCCTCTGCTCTGAGGGTGCTCCCATGAGCTCTGGGCTTACTTGGTAGAATACTTCCTTCCTCTCTCCAGGCTTGTAGCTGCATGGATTTGGAATGTGGTGTCACTTAGTTAAAAGATCTTGGAGTCAGCCTACTCCCCTAGTTTTAGAGGTGGGCTTTTAGAGAAGAAAGGATGACTCTGGTCACAGGGCCTTTCATACTCTCAAGGCAGTGTCTGGTAAAGTTTCTTGACTGTAAGGACAGTTGAATAGTTTGTAAGATGAAGATTTTGTATTTCATTAATAATTCTTTTTCTTCAAATCTACATGTCTCTGAACATATAAATCAGAAAGATTAAATATTGCTCGTAAAATAATGGAAACTAGGAGAGCTGGTTGTTCTTTTCGCCTCAGTTCTGTTCATTCATACTAGTTTTGTCCAAGCCTCCTAGCCACACACAGTACAGGCATGGTTCCCACTCCTGGTAAAGGAGGCAGGAGATCAGGAGTTCAAGGTTATCCTTAGATATACAGCAAGGGCTAGTCTGAGCTACAAAAAACACTATCTTAAAAAGTGTTTTAGCATTTTGATTTTATTGGTAGTGTATGTTATGAGAGTCCCACTGCACAACCACCTGCATTTTGAAGGACCTGGGGGGTCTTCAGTGTTTCTTACCGATTTCTATTAAATTATTATTTGTGGTTTTTTTTTAACCTCCGAGGAACTGGAGGTACATGAGGTGCTCTGCTTTTGAGCTGTGTCTTCAGCCCTCTTTATATTTTAGTAAATTACCCAGGCTGACCTTGAATTCCCTCTGTAGGTCAGTCTGGCCTTGGACTCCCTCTGCAGTTCAGGCTGGCCTTGGATTTGTGATCCTCTTGTTTGTGACTACAGGCCTACCACCACCAAGTGTGACTATAGGCCTGCCACCACCAAGTGCGGCTTTAAATTGTGAATTCTTTTATCACCACATTAAAACTAGAAAGAATTGCCTCATCCTAGTTATTTTTTGTCTTTTACAAATGTTCTTAGTGTATGTGTAGGCATATAACTTTGTATTCTTCCCTTGTTTGTTCAATCCCTATCAGATGTGTTTTTGTTTGTTTTAATTTCTTTTTTGGTGTGTGTGTGTGTGTGTGTGTGTGTGTGTGTGTGTGTTTATGTTTTGTCTGCATGTATGTCTGTGCATCATGTATATGCTTGGTGCCCACAGCGGCCAGAAAAGGATGCCAGATTCTCTGAAATTAGAGTTACAGATGGTTGTGAGCCACTATGTTGGTGCTAGGAATTGAACTCAGGTCCTCTGGAAGAGGAACAAGTGCTCTCACCTGCAAGCTATCTCTCCAGCCCCAAGACTGGGGGTTTTGTTGTGACAGTAGAAACACTTGAGGGTCTCCAGGGGTAAAGAAAGCTCCCAGAAAAACTCTGTGTATGTTCTAATGTTTAAGACACCCACTGCCATGTGACAGATGCCCTGGTGGATGGGTGGATGTTCAGAGGGCAGTCCTATGGTGGCCATCTTGCCGTTTGTCCCTTTGGGAAGGTTTTGTATGCACTTTTATCGTTGGCTTTAGTAGTGAAGCTGACCAGGCCTCAAGCTTGGGGGATGCAGCCACAATTCCTTCTTTTCCTTGTATCTTCCCCAGCGTCTCACTCAGCAGCTCCAGCCCTGCTGTGGCACCCAGAGTATATCGTTTTGAAATGTGGTAACTGCCCTGGAGCTGGCTGGGAGAGAGGTACAGGTTAGTGATGATTTTTGTTCCACATGGATCTTTGACAGAAAACTTAAAGCAGCACTCTTTATTTCCACCGTGATGACATGCGTGCTTTTCTCCTGGCCAGGTGGATGGTTGAAGGGAGCTGCTTACTGAGGTTATGATTTTAAGTGCAGATCCTGTGAGCCATAGTGGAGGCTAAGCCTTCTGGTGCTATGGGAGGACTTGGGTTAGGTTAAATCATACCCAGGTAAAAGTTTACTTCCTTCCTTCTTTTTCCACTTCCTGGTGCTGGGATTGGGACCAACACCTTGTGAATGCTAGGCAAGTGCTGCAAAGGCCAGCCTCTCCTGTACCAAAGTGGCTCTTGGAGTTAAGTTTGGTCTGGTGCCACCTTTATTTAAAGCAAGGCCCTCCATGAACTGTGTTGTGCATGGTAGTCCTTCATTATTCTTACCTTGGAGGAGTATGTCCTATGTCCCATAGCACAGCAGAAGGTGATAAAGGTGACAGTGTGGTGCCCCATTGCAGCAGTTCAGTCCAGCCCCAATGTTAGTACTTTTGTGATTACTGCAGCCCAGGAGACAGTGGGCTTGAGAGCACTCATGTTCTGATCAGCATCTCTTGCTCAAGTTGCTGGAGGAAACGTGCATAATTTTGTTTGTCTCAAAATGGAATTCCTGTAGAAGATCACTGTGCTGTTAGCCCCTATCATCTTTAAACCCCTTATCCCAGAGCTCATCTGCAGTATGTCGGGTCTGGCTTACTGCCCTGGCCATAAAAGGCAAAAAATGTGGAAAGCCCTGCTCCCTCAGCACTCCATCCCATGTGCCATGGTGCTTGAGTTCACAGTGTCAGCCAGGGGTGTTACAGCACTTTCTCCTGTAGTTTTTGGCTGTGAGGCAAGACTCCAAAGCATTGCCAGGAACATAAATCCTAGGCACACCTTAGGCTATCTACATTTGAAATATTCTTGACTGCCACAGAAACCCTAGAAGCTCATCTCAGCCCCTGAGTTTTGACTCAGGTGGTGGCATCAGGTCAGGTGTGACTTGATTTGTTTCAGGTCCCTGCATTGATGTTCGGTGGGCAGGCTGGCTGCAGTAGCCAGGGGCTGAAATATGCCTGAGTAGGAAGGACAGGGGTGGGGCTTTGGAATTTGCCCTGGCTTCTCGGGAAGTACTTGTGAAGGAAGAGGGCAGCAAAGGCCTTGTGAGTTGTGTCTAGGAGGACAGCTGCAGGAGAGAACACAGCTGGCAGGGCTTTGCAGCAGCAACTTCCTGGGATGCCCATGTTGTGGTTCCTAATTTCTCAAATGCCTGGACCAAGCAGGGAGGTATGAGTGGTAGATCAAGATCACATACAAGCTCAGGAGACTCTAACAAATAGCTTTAGCCTCTGTCTTTGCCCTGTTTGAGTGGTTCCTGATGTGCTAAAGAGAAGAGGAAAGCTGCACCTTCTGGGCGTCAGAGCCCTCCTGTGTGCCCCCTCACAGGAAGCTGGTCTGGGTCCTGTGTTAGTCACTGTTCTATGACTGTGAAGAGGCACCATTACCAAGGCAACTCTTAAAAGAGAAAGCATTAATTGCTTACAGTTTCAGGGGCTTATTAGTCCATTATCATCTTATCAGGGAACATGGTGGCGCATATGACACTGGAGCAGTAGCTGAGAGCTATATCCTAAACCACAGGAAGAGAGAGAATGGGCCTAGCATGGGCTTGTGAAACCCCAAACCTCACCTCCAGTGACACCCCCCCCAAAGGCCACACCTACTCTAAAAAGGCCACACCTAATCCTTCTCAAGTAGTGCCACTGCCTGGTGACCAAGCATTCAAATATATGAGCCTGGGGGCGGGGGGGGGTGGGGGGCTGTTCTTATTCAAATCACCACAGGTGGCATTGTGGAAGGGGTCAGAAGTTGCCATGGGCACTGTTTTCCAGGGGAGTCTTTTAACAACAGCTTAAGGACCACACACTACCAGGAGGAAAGGCAGGCTGGTACGTTGAGAAATAAGATTCTTAGATTTCCCTGAATGCTTATTGTCCCTGCTCAGAACCAGAGAAAACTGGGAAGGCAACTAGTGGGGATGGGTACACTGCCCTGCCTTGTGGGAGCATCAGGACAGGGACAATTAAAGTGTGAGCTTTAGTTGTACTTGGGATAGTTTTGCTTGGACTTATTCTTGAATGTTTTGTTAGTCCATGGTGGCATTTATAGTTGACTTTATTTGGAAAGCCTGAATCCTCAAAAAGGGAAGAGATGGAGTCTGCTCTGTGACCTGTAAGAAGACTAGCTACAGCTCAACCTGGTCACCTGCCAGTCACTAAGCTGGATCATTCTACTGCCCCTTGTTATAAGGCAGTCTTGACTTTCATTTGGGAACTCCAAGACTATGCCTGCTCACCCTGTTGATTATTTAAACCTCTTGGACCGATAGGTCCTTCATTTGTTCTGCTTTTGATACAGGATCTCTCTGTGTAGCCCAGATTGGCCTTGAATTTGTGATCCTCTTGCCTCAGCCTTCCAAGTGCTGTGATTAGTAATGTATCATGCTCACAAAGAGACCATTGGCTTGATGCCTTAGACAAATGCCACTTAGGTGCAGGTGCAAGCAGAGAAAGGGGACTTTGGCCTTGTAGAGCCTAGGCTTAAAAGTAGCTTCCATTGTAGGAGTGAAAGTGTTGCTCCAAGTCCAAGTGTAAGGAAGATTTCTATACCTTCTATATGTTTGTCTTTTGTGAGCTGTTTTGGGCACTTTGGGTTGTGGTGGGTGTTGAATGGGGCATATGGGTTCATAACTTTCTGGTTTGATGGAAGAGTCTTCATTAATAGTTTACATAAGCCCTCAAACTCATCTTCCTAGGGTGGCTAGGTATTTGGCATTGAAGAACTGAGAATTATTGTTGGGTATGGTAGTGCATGCCTTTAATTGCAGCACTTGGGAGGGAGGCAGAGACAGGAAGATCTCTGTGTTTGAGGCCAGCCTGGTCTACATAGTGAGCTCCAGGGCAGCAAGAGCTACACAGTAAAACTCTGTCTCAGACATCCCTACCACCCAAAAAAGAAACGAAAATTAAAAGAAGGAAACAAGTCTCAAACAGGATGGTACAGGCAGAAGCAGCGCCAACCCCTGGCCTCCAAGTCCTAACCAATGCTATGGGCAAGGGTCCTCTAAGAAGGTCTTTCAGCAGCCTGGGCCCAGCCTCAGGAACCTCCTTATCTTTGTAAAATGCTTGTGGGGGGAGTAAGCCTCTAGGAGTCTCTAAGCCTCAGACCTCACATGGCCCAGTGTTTTCCCCATACAGAGGTTTCAAAAGCATTTGTGAGCTGGGGACAGAAAAAACTGCCCATTTCTGTCACTGGGAGTCATAATGTAGAGGACTGTTGGAAGTCTCTTGTGACTGAGGTGAGTGAACATTGAACAGCTGCTGGGGTCTCTAGAGCTCATCTAGCATGGGAGGTCTGTAGCGCAAAGACGCTACAGAGAATAGGTGGGACACCTATTCTCTAGGCACTAAGTGGATTTTCTGAGGCAGGTGGCGCTCAGCCAGTAGGTAGAGGGGCAGAGCAGCCTTTGCTAGGACCAAGAGAAGCAGCCTGAGGAGAGTCCTGGGTGAATAGACTATACAGGCAATGGCATGTTCCCAGGGGTCAGGAAGGGAGAGAATGAGTTTGGAATCAGTGACATTCAAATGCTTTGGGCTCTGAGAAGTTGTGGAGATGATGGGGCACTTTATGCCTTCTCAGTGGGAGGAGACTAGACTTGGAGCTAAGGCTGGCAGCATTCCTAGAGAAACAAGCACTAACTCCTAGGAGGCCTTCTCAGAGGACTACAGCAGTGAAGGGGTCTTGGACCCAGCTGGTAGCAGGTGGGTATTTTTGAGCACGTGAAGATGGAAAGCGTGTTTATGAGTGATCAGTCTGGGGTGGTTTATAAGTTTTTAACACAAAAAGTGTGCTTTTATAGTGATTTGTCTACTTTGTCTAGATCAGTGGTTCTCAACCTTTCTAATGCTGTGACTCTTTAATACAGTTCCTCACCATACTGTTATTTTTGTTGCTACCTTGTAACCAATTTTGCTACTGTTACCTTAATGTAAATTAAGTTATCTATATACATTAAGGTACTATTATCTTAATGTAAATACTTTTGGAGATAGGAGTTGTGACCCACAGGTTGAGAACTGCTGATCTAGATAAAGCCCTCAAAAATCTCAGGAACATGTGAGCACCTGTATTTTTATACAACTGCTGAGGACCAGTTTAAGGAATATAAATATGTCACTTCTTTTTACTTCCCAACTTCATGTGCTGGGCTGGATGTCCTTCCTCGGGCTCTCAGCAGTTTGGCAAGCTGGTTGTTTCTTTAATAAGCTGGACCTTTGTGTGGTTGGCAACTGCAGTATGGTGATAGACCTGAGGAGCAGTGCCAGTCTGGTTGGGGAGTGCAAAGTAGGTTGGTGGGGCTAATAGATTGGCCTGTGGGCTAGCCCAGCAGCCTGCACAGTATAACCCAGCATCTTCCCCTTGTCTTCCCAGGAGTATAAACAGAAGCTTGCTCGAGTAACCCAGGTCCGCAAGGAACTCAAGTCCCACATTCAGAGTTTGCCAGACCTCTCACTGCTGCCGAACGTAACAGGGGGCTTGGCCCCACTCCCTTCTGCTGGTGACCTCTTCTCAACTGACTAGGACAGGTATTGTGCTCCAGGTTCCCATGTGTGCTGGAGAAAAGAAGCAAGTCACTGTTGGAGACACCTTCTGGTCCTGGCTCCATCTCTTCAGCCAGCATCCGCCTCAGGAATGAAGCAGGCAACTCTGACTTCTCATTCTCCGGCTCCTGAGCACCGTTCAGAACCGTGCAGATGGACTCAGTTTTAATTCTTGCTAAGAATACTGACTCTCCCTCCCACTCATGTTCTTATGCCCATTGCTTTTCCATTCTTAGCTCTCTTACACCCATAAGCCATGAAAATCATGTGTATTTCCAGAAGCTCTCAAGAGAATCTTGCCCCAAGTGACAGCACATGCCATGGAAGTAGCCCCTTTCTGAGCTGGGCTCGGCCAAGTTCACAACAGGCTCCCAGTGAGGGAGTCAAGCTGCAGGCATTGGCTCTCCTGGCTACCGTCTGCCCTCAAGGTTGGCAGCACAGCCTTAGGCAGTTTGCCACAAGATGTTTGCCAAATTGCTGACCTTCCTGACCATTACCTCTTGAGAGGTATTGTCAGGGTTAGGTGGGTTTGTTTTCGAGCAATCTAGAGAATCTAATAATAAGATCCAAAGCTGATCTGTGACGTGAAGTCACAGTGCAGGTACAGAGTGACAGGGATCACAAGTCATTTGTCTGGTTTCTCCCCACAGCCTTCCCATGCCACACCTCCCTAAAGAGGACCCTCTATCCCTGATGCTGTGAAGTTGGCTGTTCGGGGGGTGGCATGCCCCGGCTGGTGAGTGCTCCACTGGTAGAGAGGGCCTGGGCTGTTGTGGATGTTGCTCTCACCCTTCCTTTGGGGCCTGGAGTATACACTAACTCCACCATGTGGGCATCCATCCATGGTATGGTGAATAAACTTGAGCAGCTCTGCAAATAGGACACTGAGCACGCCAGGCAGTCCGTGCCACTCTGCATCCATGTTCCCATGCAAAGAGGAGTATTACTACAAACAACTCACCTCCAGCAG